AAAAAAAAAGATTGCTCATATGCCAGGATGAATGTGTTATTATCATAAATATTGTTTTTACCTGTTTTCGTTTTGTTCTGTTATTTATTCATCTGTGCGTCATTAGAAATCACAAAGAAAACAAATGAAAATATTTGCTGTAGAAAAAAACCCGCGAAATATATGACTCTTTTTTATGGAAGTTTTTATTTCCAAAGTAATTACATCACTTAGAGAATATCATTATAAATACGAATGAAAGAGCATTGTCATTTTCGTATTCTATATTAGAAGAATGACTAGCTCCATGAATTACACATACGAGAAAAGTGTGACACCAGTTGTCATAGATAGAACTAATGAACAATTCGATGAACAACAAATACAACAGCTTGAAAATCAAAAACAAAATTTTGAAGAAAAGCTAAACAATGCTAGAAGTAAAGAATCAAAACTACGTGAGGACACGGAAACATATAAACATGAAGCAACAACACATCTAAGTGAATTACGTCGACTCAATGAAGAACTCATACAAAGAAATTCTGAAATCGAACGAGTCGAACAAGAACTTGAAAATTTACGTGATGAAAAATTAAAAATCGAAGACGAATATCGACAACAAGAGAATGAATATGATCATTTAAAACAACAACTAGATCGAAATGAAGATGAACTTGAACAACTTCAAACAAAATTATACGAATTAACTGAAGAAAAAATTCATTTAGAAGAAGAATCAAAAAATTTAAAACAAAAATGCCAAGATATGGAAAATAAACAACATAAACGTCTTCAACAGATTCAACAGCTCGAAGAACAACAAGAAGAATTGAAAATGAGTTTAAAGGAATCGACGAAAGAAATTCGTCAAATTGAAAATAAAATTAATCAATTTCAACAAGAAATGCGTCAATTCGAACAAGAATTAACCACAATTGAACAACGACATATTGAACTTGAACAAAAATTGAATGCAAATGAATCGATTCGTGATCGTCTTGAAACTGAAATTAGAAAAATTGAAAATATGACTCGACGTCTTGAACAATTAATTGATATGAAAAGAAATCGAATGAATGAATATAATCAATACAAACAACAGTTACAAGCTGAAGAGAATCAAGCTCAAGCCGAAATAGTTCAAGCAAAACAACAACTCATTACGCTTGAAGAAAAAATGAAATTGTTACAAGATGTTACCGAGCAAAGTCGAGTGGAAGTAAATAGATTGAGACAAGTAATTGTACAAGAGGAAAGACAAATGCAACAATTAAATCAGCAAAAGCAAAATCTTGAGTACGTAAACCAATAGAAAATTAATTTATTACTTTGATTTATTTTATACGATTTCTATTAGACAATATTGACTATTCTGAAAGATCATCACTAATTATTAAGTCGTTTTGCTTTTCATTTGATTTATCTAAGGACTTCTTCCAGACGTTTCTTGAATCAATCGATAGTTAAGAGACGCGGTTTCGAGTCGATAAAATCTCTAAAAACGTTGAGAATTCAGAGGTAAGAATACGATAATCGTATCCAGTTAGACGGCTCTAAATTCTGTTTCGGCTGGAACTGGATGAATTCGACCGACGTGTCTAATCACTGAGTTCATGCTTCCAAATTCCTCCAGCTTTCTGGCCGTATCTCACTCACCTGAGCTATGTCGTGAAAGACAAAGTCTATACGATACTGTATTGTCTTTTGACTTTAATGATTGACCGAAACAAGCTGATAGACTAAACTCTCAGCCTCGAAAAGTCTGATTGGATCTGTCAATCGAAATCCAATGTTTGCGACAAGTCTATCAAAGATCATTATGATATCATAAGAGCGATATGATGATTTCTCTAACATGACATTTGAAGAATTAATCTGTAATTGGGTCAAAGCAAAGTTTTTCGACTTTGGTTTTTTGGATTTCAAATCTAATGAAAAACCGAATTTTTTTTTGAAATTTGAAAGTAAAATAAACAAAAGAAATTCATACATGAAAAATATTTTTATTCGAAAGAACAACATGCATATGGCGACTAATAGTTAAACTCAATGTGTCTTTCTCATATGTTTAAAAGTCAACGGAATATACATCAATATCATTTTCGGCAATTCGAGTAGTATTAGTCTTGGCATTAGTTCAGTCTTATGGAGCATCATTATTGATCAATATCGATATATTGAAAATGAAATATAAAGATGAAGTAATTATATTTTTCAGAAAACAAATACAAGTAAAAAATCAAGAACGAATCAATATCGATCGTAATCGACAAAATGTTTCTCAACGACTTCAACTGACAAATAATGAATTAATAATGACTGAAGAATCATTAGTAAAACTTAATGAATCTTTAAAAAATCTTCAAGAAGAAAAGCAAAAACTTGAAACTAATTTTGAACGTTTGACTACTGAACGAGATCAATATGAATCTCAAATGAACCAAGAAAAACAAACAATACAACGACTAACACAAGAACTACGAATCGAAACTATAAAACAACGTAAAAATGAACAAATTGTAACAGAACAAAAAAAGAAAGTGCGTTTATATGAAGAGAATCTTAAAAAGAGTGAAAGTAAAGAAGCAACAGCTCGAAATGATCAAATAAAAGCTACGCAAGATCAAATTCAAGCAGAAACTCAGCTAAATAATGCACAATTAGCACTAGATGAAGCTGAAAGAGAATTACAACGCGCAGAAAATGCCGAAGTAAAAGATCAGGATGCAATCAATAAAGCTCATAACAATTATCAACGATGTCAAAAAAACGTCAATCAAATGAAAAATACTTTTGACAACAGTATACGAGTTCTAGCCATTCGGGAAAAAAATTATGCTGATGTTCAGGCTTTAGTAAATTCAATTCGACAACAATATCAAGAAGCCACAGATAGTTTGACACAAAAAGAAGAACAACTTGCAAATCAAAATGAAAAAACTATTTCAATAAGAACCAAACTTGAAAATCAGAAAATTACTTATAATGAAGTTAAAAATCATTGGAATCGATTATCAAAAGAATGTAAACAAGTGAAAAGTCAAATCAATGACAAACATTCAAAAGAATCTAAATTGAAAACTGATATTGATAAAAAAACGAAAAAAATAGAAACATTAAAAAAAGATATTCAATCAATGAACGAATCCATTGAAAAATTCGACCAAAAAATTCAAAAATCTGATTATGATATAATTCAATTAAACGAACAAATACATAGTAAAGAAAAACAATATCAAACAAAACAAGATGAAAATCGACAAATAGAGATACAACTAAATAGCAAATTTATTGAACTTCAAAAGAATGAACAACAAATTCAACAACAACAAAATATGATTAATGAACGGAATATTATACTTCAAAGAGCCAATAATAACATAGAAAATATTAGAACTAATATAGCTAAAATTACTAGATCTGTTTTTGATTTAGAAGATGATTTAGCTGAACAACAACAATTATTACGTAATTCACAAAGACAACAAGAAATATTGAATAAAGAACATAATAAAATTCAAGATGATTTACTAATACAACAACGAGAAAAACAACAACATGAAAATGATATACGTCACTTATCTCGTCAAATCAATCAACAACAAAATCTTCTAAATCAAAAACAAGAAATTCTAACTGATTTACAAGTACAAGTCAATCAAAAAAGATTAGAATTGAATACGACTCACGAGAAATATAATTCTCATAAAGAACAGTTGGATAATACTCAATTAACATTAAAAAATATTGATCAACAGATAAATGGTATTGATGCTCGTAAGCGTCAGTTCGATCATAATATTGAACGAAAGGTTCATGAAACAAAAACTATCAAAGAACTTTTTGATAAAAAGAAAATCGAAATAGATAATAGGAAAGAAAATTTAAAGCGAGTAACAAATAATTATGATGAGAAAAATAAAGTATACAATGCATTGAACAGAAACAAGAACAATGTTATCATTAAAATTGATCAACGTCGAATAGCTCAAGCCGATGTAGATAGAAAACTAGAAGAAACACATAATCAATTGACAGCAAAACGTAGAAACATTCGAAGCTTGGCAACTGGTCTTCGTCAAGTGAATATGACGATAAGACAAAATTTATCTTATGAACAGATAAATCACGATGTGGCACAAGAAGTGGCAGAACACAATAATTTGAAAATTCATAAACTTAATCAAGATGAGTACTCGATAGATGATAATTTGACTCAAAGGCAATTCTTACATAATAAATATTAGTTTATTTAATATTTCATCTTTTTCAAAAACATAATTTTTTTTCCAAATTGTAAAGTCTATGATATTTGTACAAACTTTAATCTGTTTATTTTGTTTATCTGTTAGTTTGAAATATAGTTTTTTAATTAGATATCTATATGAGTTTATATATATTTCTATTTTTTTTTATGAATGCTGAAGATTTTGAATATTATATCCATTTCAAAAACTGCTCCATAGGCCATGATCACTATTCTATAAATGCTGAATTGATGAACTTCTCCATGTTGATTGAACTGTCATATTTTTTTTCTAGAAATTTCAAGTCTCTTATTCATAAACTATAACAGACATCTTGTATTGTTATTTTTGTAACTGTATCATAAACTTTTATTTAAATCAATATTGTTCCACTTATGATTAAAATAATTTGATTATGTTACAAATTTTAAACCTACACGTATATTATTTAAATTTTTTTAATCATGTTTTAGAGAGTCTCAATCAAATGTGTTTCTAAAATAGATAATTTTTTCAAAATATTTATATTTATTCGTCAAAATAATCCATATTTGTTATTGTGATTGATTTGGTATACTTTCGGTTGTGGTCGTCGACGATATCACTTGCACTTCAGGGTGATTGTTTCGCCAATATCGCCATAATGTAATTTGTTTCATAATTAATCGATAGATCAACTCGCAGAATTCCATTAAACTTAGCGTACTAAGACCAATCCAGCTACAATTAACTCATCATAATAGAATGTTGTCAAAAAGAAGAAGCTCTTACTTACAATCCAGTTTGTCCTCCAATGGCCGAAAATGTATCAACGAACGTTAATTTAGCCTGTTGTTTATGCGTTGTTACATATGAACTAGCACATGTTATGGTCACTTTTAAATAATTGGCATCCATGTAGGCATCATAATTCGCAGCAAAATCATTGGGCAAGGACACATTGAAACTGTTTTCTAGCAAAGAGTTTTTCAATGATGCTTTTTGTTGCGTAGTTGGCGCTGGTAATGCACTAACATCGATCGAAAATTGTGTGTGTGTACATTGTGGAGCACATCGGGAACACCAAACAGCCATGAGAGATGCATTTATGACTATTTGTTGCCGTGCAGTTAATGCACATTTTTCTTCTTCAGTGTTCGGCATACAAGTATTTGCGATCAAAAGTCCATCATCATTCAATGAGAAGACATGTCGCATGAGAAATGGAATAGGTAAAATACAAAAACATTTTGAGAAAATGTAAGCTTGTTCACACAATTCGTAACATAAAGCTTCGGAATAGGCTACTTGACGGGCCAAATGTGGATCGAAGATAACCTCGTAGATATGACGCAAATTACGTTCAACTGTAGTTGTACAGTTTGTATAAGGTTTAGAAAGAAAAATTGTTTGACTTTTTCGATATGTTATTGTATGAGCGAGACCTGGTCGTAATCGTATACTGTTTTTAGCTAGGAACGGAAGTTCATTGTTGTCATGCAAGAATAAAATAAGACCATTCTCGAAGATTGTTGATGGGAAACTAAGATGACTTGGTATGTAAAAAGTCATTGACAAGCCTTCGTACATTACCAATATTGAACCTAGATCAGCTAGCGTAAATACTTTATTGATAGACGTGTTCCAATTAAATGTAAAGCAATTACCATAGATAGACGATAGAGAATGAACAAAATTCGATGAACAATTAATACCATTGTACGAGCATGCAAGTAACATATCCGATAGCTGAAATCCAAACTTTGCGAATTCATCAGACTCATTTCGATTGAACATATTGATGAGCATGCGAAAAGCTAATGACTCAAAAGTTGATTCATTGACATTGATACCCATTTCATGAGCATAAGCTTTTATTGCTGTGTCCATTCGATCATTCCTATACGGATTAGCGTTGCATACAGTCACCGCTGCAAATGGCATATCACGTATAGGCACAATGTCGATGCTGATCTGTGTAGGAAAAGCAAAATATTGCAATAATTCCATTAAAGTGAAATAGGACATAAAGCCGAACATGACTACAAAGGTGACAATCCAAAATGTTCGATGCAATGTACTGTGAGCAATGCCGATATTGCGTAGGCCATGTGTGGCAGTAGTGACTAAATAACTCACCAGGATCGATCGCCGACGATGTTCAAGAATCGGACATTGCTTTGAATTATCCACTTTGTCTTCCATTGAAGGATAAAGTTAGATTTTTTGGAATCTTGATTCTAATCGTATATGAGCCTAAATTGCATTCAAAAGTTGTGACTCCTTTCAGTAGACCGATCATATTAACGAGAAATCTTTCTGATAGGGTTACTTAAAAAGCCAAACAAAAAGATTACTAATAAATAAAAAAATTTTAGTGTAGAAAGATGTGAGAAAATGATTAACAATATTCCGAAAAAGGTTGAAAACAAGATCAACGCATAATGAAATTTGATTTTTACTATTTGTAAATCATTTAGATTTAAAAAAATTTTCTCAAAAATTATCAGATGAAAATATCTACTCAAAAATATTATCGATTTACTGAGACGCGTTAAAACTTATGAATCCTTCATTATTGATTTCGTGATGGAAAATCAACATCATACCTTACGTACTCTTATTGACAGTCATCAATAGAAGCAGAATAAGGAAACCAATTATCATGCTTTTAGTAATTACTATTAAAATAGATTGTGGATAAATAAAATTCTCATTGATAATAATTTGAATAGACTTGTAGAAATAAATGAGACTGATACAAAACACTTGTTTTACTCTTAAAACTTACTTTAAGCTCGAAACAGCACCAAACTCATTTAGTAGTTATTTTACATGAAAAATAAGAGAATGAATCAATCGATATTCAAACAAAAATACTCTCATAGACCTGTTACTCAACTTAATAATTCTCAAGCAATAATAATGCCATTCTAAGAAAATAATAAAGTACGTGTCAATATTGAACTTACTTTCTCCTCTTCAATTGCAAGTGATAAAAGACACGCACTATATTGATTGTGTCATGGAAAGGAATAAATATTGTCAATCACAGAAAAACACATTGGAAAAATAAAGGTAGCAATAATGCAATGTTAAAGCAGAATTCTTTCAATATTTCGATTGAGTGTGACTTAGCATCACGTTGCTGTACAGAAAATTGATGAAATTCAAAACAGACAAAGACAACAGAAGTATGCCGTATAGAAGTGACGCATCGTTATGAAAATAACGAGTGTAATTGCTATGAAGATAGAACAAAAAACGTGCAACTAAAGCTTATCGTATTTTTGTTGATGCCATCCTATTTTTATAAAATCAGTAACAGTTCAGCTGAGCTCAATTGGGTTCGTATTACAGTTTTGGATGCAGTCTGGAAGCGATTTTTTCAATTGAGGATAAGATTTCTACTAGCTGCTAGGCATGAATGAAACCCTAAAGTTTTTGGGTTAAATTTATAAAAAAAATGTTTGATATAAAGCAGAACTTTATTTCAATTTTTTTTTTCAACATGAAATGAAAAATTCATTTATATAATTGATACAAAGGTAACAAAACAAATTCAGATCCATCGAAAATATTTTATACTTGGACTGTAGAAATCGAATAAAGGTGAGAATGTTTTGATACGTATTACCAATGAGTCACATTCAGATCTCATTTCCATAATGCCGAACATTAAAGATTTTGAGTTCAACTGAATCCATTGTGTTCGCTTCACATCGATATAAGTGAATATTGAAATTTAAAAAAATTCAAAAGAATTATTTAATTTATATTTAAATCAAAATAGTAAACCATGAACGACGACTATCCTAAACAAAATTTTGATAAATAAAATACGAAAATAAAATATTGAAATGTAATGTCGCAATAATTTTTTTTTGTTCTGTGTTTTACAGTAGAGGTAAATACATGATTCCAAATATATTACAGTTTAAAAATATAACGCCAATCAAGGAAAGAACTAAACTTCTATTAAAAAAAACTTTATCATAAAATCTTTTATTCGAATATAGCAAACAGAAGTTCATTTAAATACAGCAGTGACACAATTAAAATATATTGAAGGTAGAAAATATACTTTGTCGAAGAAAGCAAACAAATATAATTCATTCAGTAAAAATAGGAAAAGACTCATAACAAAATTCGATCTCTTATTTTGACAATGAATAAATAACATAAAAAAGTATAATTAATGTTATTTAAACGGCAGGTTTCTTTTATTACAAAGAAATAAATAAGTATCGGAATAAGACATTTTCGTGTGCTTCAAGTTGGAAGACAAACTCAGTCAATGATATAGGACAGAACAGAAAAAAAAATTATTCATTCTGAATACTTCTTTTTGCTCATTCATTACATCGAAATAATGTTATTTGTAATAGCTTTGGTTTTCGGACTCTTCTTTTCATGTGTGCAAGGTTTGCTGATTTATTTCTTTTTATTTCATTCGTTCACAATACAAACAATATTTAGGTCAAACTACAGCAGTAACAAATTACTACTGTTATGAAAATAATGCTACTGTCCAATTTATATTGTCTTCGTTGCCTCATTCAGCATGGGAACTAGAGTCCTGCGCGGGTTTGATTTTTCGAACCCGCACCCGACCCGAGGTCTTTTAGTCGTACCCGTGCCCGACCCGACCCGACAAGGCTCAACCCGAGCCCGACCCGACCCGACAAGGTTCAACCCGAGCCCGACCCGACCCGAGGATAGTTGGACCCGAGCCCGACCCGACCCGAGGATAGTTGAATCCGAGCCCGACCCGACCCGAGAGATTTAAATTCGTTTATTTTATAAAGATACATCAGTTTATTGCAATATTAAGCATAAAAAATGATAGAAGCTTTATAGCAATAAAAAACACATAGATAATCATGATTGCAAAAAAAACCATCACAACTTAGTATGATCACATTTCCATTCAAATACATACATTTCAAACAGTTAAGATCGATAATGATCATAACAATAAGTATCGTACAAATATCAATAATACATCTTCAATTTATACAAAACAACTGAGAAATTTCGTAAAAAAATAAGAGAGTCAAGTGATTCTGGTGATAATTGTTGACGTCGAACTTCAAGAATCCGACCTGTTTTACTGAATATTCTTTCAGATACAGCAGAACCTGCAGGTACTGCTAAGAGAGAACATGCAAATAATGATAACCTAAGGAGAATCAAATTTAAATTAATTTATTGAATTTTTCTTGTGCATTTAAAGAGAATGATATAGTAATCAAGAAACTCACTTTTTGTATATGATAGAGTGTTTTTGCCACTGTTGTAAAAGTGATTCTCCTTTTGGGTATGATATTTTCGCTTTAATATAATCATCTACTTTATCCATCGGCCTCTTATCATCATCGTCTGATGATGAGTCTACAAATGCATTAAAAGACTTGAGAACATCGTGTACAGTGTCTATTTTAATACGTTTTTGATGTGTTAAGGAATTGTTGTTGGTACCTGTCTCTGTTGTTTCTTCATCGACTTGTTGATCTATACCTAGAGTTTTTAAAAGTATTCGTATATTTTTAATAACAGCATTACGTTCTGATTTCATTAGACTCTGAGAATCATTGACCAATAGAATTGAGTTTTATTATTCTGTGAGTTTAAGACGAACGAAAATAGAGGGCGGAAGCATACATACGCAAAAAAAACTGACCCGATAAAAACCCGACATTTTTTAATTTCAAACCCACACCCGACCCGACCCGACGGCTGACAGACCCGTACCCGACCCGACCCGATAAGATTGAACCCGAGCCCGCCCGCACCCGACAAGATTGAACCCGAACCCGCCCGTACCCGCGGGTCGGGCTCGGGTGCGGGTCGGGTCGGGTCGGGTTGCAGTACTCTAATGGGAACCAGCATCGAATTGTTCTTTGCAACAATGTAATGTAAGCTTCAATGATAACAACAATTGTCGTTCATCATCAACACCTTGTTTCTATTACTTTATGTTGAACGAGACTAGTTATTGTGTTCCTGGTATTCTATGTTCCATTTTGGAACCATGTAACAATATTACCTTTACTTGTGCATCGGCTACTTCTGTATGCGTCGTTAACTCGTGCTGTTCACCACAAGAAGTATGTGTACCATGGTCAGCAACAAATTTGTGTAAAACAGGTAAAGATAGACGGAATGTATAAAAATGAAACAAAGTATTCTGTTTGAATTGTGATTGAAACTTGCTTCAAATCGAAGTTCACTTCGAGAAATTTTAAAATAGAAAAGAAAAATTAGATAAAAAATCAAAACAGATTAAATACTTTCATACGATCGGAAAATAAGAAGCTATAATCTAATAAAAAAAACTCGTAAATTCAGTGCAATTGAAGATATAGCCAAAAATACTACCACAATTTCATACCTAAGATATAAAAGACAATATTTATGTGTTCGATGATACTCCGTCTTTCAGTCTGAATATATTCACATGGTTCTTTTAGGATGGCTTGCGACTGGTAATATGAATGATGCACGAAGTGACCATACAGCGTCTGTATTACGAAATGGAAAAGTGTTAGTTACTGGTGGATCTAATTATAGTTTATACTTAAATAGTGCCGAATTGTATGATCCATCAACAGAAACTTGGACAACGATTGATAGTATGAATAATGCACGATCTGTACACACAGCATCCGTATTACCAAATGGAAAAGTATTAATTACTGGTGGATATGATGGTAGTTTATATCTAAATAGTACTGAGTTGTATGATCCATCAACAAACACTTGGACAACGACTGGTAGTATGAATAGTGCACGGTATGTACACACAGCCTCCATATTACCAAATGGAAAAGTATTAATTGCTGGTGGATATGATGGTAGTTTATATCTAAATAGTGCTGAGTTGTATGATCCATCAACAGGACTTTGGACAGTGACTGGTAGTATGAATCTTGAACGATATTCGCACAAAGCATCGATATTAACAAATGGATATGTGTTAATTGCTGGTGGATGGGATGGATATTCTTTTCTGAATACTTCTGAGTTGTATGACCCATCAACAGGAACTTGGACAACGACCGGTAGTATGAATAATGCACGATATTCGCACACAACATCAGTATTACCAAATGGAAAAGTGTTAGTTACTGGTGGATATGATGGTAACTCGTATCTAAATAGTGCTGAGTTGTATGATCCATCAACAGGACTTTGGACAGCGACTAGTAGTATGAATAGTGCACGAAGTGAACATACAACATCGATATTAACAAATGGAGATGTGTTAGCAACTGGTGGATTTATCAATATTTTTCTAAGTACTTCAGAATTGTATTAATTATCTCAATGAAATGAACAATCAATAATCTTTTATTTATCATTACATGTAATCTTGCCTTCAAACACTAGCTTGATAAAGAGAACTATTGAATTAAAATGCCACTGATTCTTAGGCATCGATTTCTTTGTTAGATTTTCATACTTCTGTAAATTCGATTTCAAATACAAAAATATTTTTATTTTTCTATTTGTGGATGTTACACTTATTATATTATGAAATATTCTCAGTTCATATGATGATTCTGATCTTCTTAAAGCGTTTTATTAAATCTTCTATCGGTACTTGCAGCTACATTGACAGATTGAACTTTTACTTTGTTCATATAAGTTTTCTTAAGATTCTCTTTTCATATTGAAGAAAAAATTGTACTTTTATTTACCCCTGATTTGTACAATATCAATTTACAATTTTCCATTCAAATAAGTGAATAATCATTCAATTCATTTAATATTTCATTATCAGTTAACGTGCAAAAGTGTATCAGCTAAGAGTAGAATATCTTAGATATCTAGTTTCTTTACTTTATTTTCAGATGAGTTAGTATTATTTTTTCATGAGTATTTGAACTAGAAACTGAAAGATTTTAAGGACGAGGTATAAGGCTTTTTCAAAATAATATGTACTTAATTGTCATCAAACACCTGTGTTAATGTAAGCAGCATTATAATTGCTCACGCACTTGCTGTACATATATTGTCTGATTATTTACAGTTTTGTTTAATTATCACAATCTTTGATCTGAATGATAAAATCCAGAAAAACTAGAAACTCTTAATTTGATAAACTAATATTGATAGAAATATTTGTATTGAGAACGAATAAGTTCAACTAGAGATACGAGATATTTCTTTGCAATTGTCGATCGATTTTGCAAATATTTTCAAATAATTATGTTTAACATCAAAGATATTTTCCAGGAAATAGGATATAAGAAAAATGAAGTGACAATTGAATTATGATCGATTAAAATGTTTTAGAATCAAATTTTATTGTTACATATAGTATTGATAATTACAAAAAAAAATTTTATATCAATTGAATCTAGTAGTGTAAAGCTTGTTCATATACGAGTTACTTGCATTAGTTTCGAAAGTTGTGATCGATTTTCTGAATTTCAGTAAAAACTCCAATACTTATTATTTCGCTGCTTCGATAATATGATTAATTCATTAGATAGCGTTCTATTTTGCAATAAATAAAACACAATAATGATCATAGTTTCGTATGTACACATATCAAATGATAGCAAGTAAATAATCAGGAAATATAAGTTTTTGAATAAGCATATCAGTTGTAGGCGTACATAGTAAAAATAAAGTTACATCATATACGATGAAACTATTTCAATTGTTCAATCACTTTTTCTTCAGAAAATATATTTGTTGATTTCAAACGGACATACGATCTATACGTTTCTTTGTAAGTTCTATTTTGTATTTTGTTTCATCTGTTAGCAAGTGATATGAATACAATAAGTCTAATTATAATAACGAAATAATTTTCATATTCAGTATGATTATATGAGTTTGAAAAA